GCTGGTAAGAAATGCTAAGAAATTGGAACTTTATTTTGCAGACCACATAAAGTCATTGAATGATTTTACTTAGACAAGGGAATATCGCTGTGCAATTTGTATTTCATAAGGATCATCCTGGCAGCAGCGGAGAGGAGGAATTGGAAGGAGGCCAGGCTCAAGGCAGCAGAACTGGTTGGGAGAGTGGTGGCAGTAGTCCATGATGAAAGCCTAGACCAAAACTGTGGCAACAGGAGCAGGGAGGAGGGACTAAACTAAGACAACATATTTAGGAAGCAGAATTGACATGTCTTCGTGATTAATTTCATCTAAGGGTGAGAGAGAGGGAGGTATCCATGAAACCTTCCAGTTTTCTGACTTAGATGATTGGTGAGTGGTGGTGACATTCACTTGACAGAGAAGAGAGGGGCAGAACTGTGGCGGCAGAGGTTTAGTTTGAGGTACTCAGGGGAGTTCAGTTGGAAATTCAGATGTGAAGCTCCAGAGAGAATTCTGGGGCAGATGTGAAGAAGTGAGAGTCATGGGAATATTGGTTCAGTGGAAGCCACAGGTTTGGATGAGGTGATTGAGAGGGAGTACATAGGGTGAGAAGGAAGTGGACAGGGGATTGATCCTTGGAAATCAATATGTGAGAGATTAACACAGGAAGGATTAACAGAGAAGGAAGAAATGGAGCAATAGAAGGGAAGCCAGGGGTGCCTGGGTGGCTCAGTCGGTTAAATGCCTGACTATTGATCTCAGCTCAGGTCTTGATCTCAGGGTCTTGAGTTCAAGTCCTGCATTGGGCTCCACGCTGGGCATGGAGAGAAGAAGAAGAAGATGGAGAAGGAGAAGGAGAAGTAGAAGAAGGAGAAGGGGAGGAGGGGAGGAGGAGGAGAAACCAAAAAAGGATATCAGGAAGCCAAGGTGGGATAGGGAAAAAATATGATCAGATCAACCTAGAAGTTCTAGAAAATCAGAAAAAATGAAGAAGGGTAAGTAAAGTAGCCACTGTATTTGAGAATTTGAATGGAATTGCTAACCCCAGGAGAGAAGTTTAGGTAGAGTGATGGACTGGGGCAGTTAGTTGAAAGTTAAGCTGAGCCAGATTGTGGTCAGTCAAATGAGAGACAAGCATGAATAGGGGACACCTATTACTCTTGCAAGAAGTTTAGCTTTGAAAGGAGAGAAAGAGAGCTACAGGGTAGTAGCTTGAGGGACTGGGGTCCTCAGAGAGGCTGTGTCCTTAAAGTTGGATGACACTTAAAGAGTTATGTGCCAGAGAGAAGTCGGGGCGGGGGGGGGGGGGGGAGGGTCTCATCCCAGGGGACTGAGCAAGGCTGCTGAGGAGGCAGGAGGAGAAGTGATACAGGTGAGGCCCATGATAATAGGCTCAGCAATGTTTTACTACTCTGGTAGCTTCACCATCATTTGGTGAATATCCTTAAAACAGAACTTTTAGGGTAGATTCAGTAAATTAGGCAGAGAACTCTTCTTATATATTTTTGTATTCCCTACCATAGTATGTTAGATGGGGCAGGTATGCCTGCAATTTTTTAAATTTATTAAATCATTCCTCTGATCCAGAATCAACAACACTCTATTGCTTACAGGGAATGAAAGTAGAAACCAGTTCAAGCCCTTCGGCATCTAGCTAACATGGAGGTCTGCACCAGTTTCCACTGCGGCTGTCCTCTCTGGTCAGGCCGCTGTGTTGGCTTGCCCACAAATGTGCCTCGTTCATCCCGCTTCCTTCGCCCTGTTCCCACCCTATCACAATATTATCCCCCTCTGTACAATAGGGAGACTGAGAATACAATCCCAACCTATCCTAGCCTACAGGACCCTTAGGAATGTGCCATCTACCTATCTCTCCAATTACATTTGAAACCACTCTCCCCCACGCCTTCTTTGTTCCTCCAACACGAGAGTATTTTCCTGCCGCCAGACATTCACCCTGACTCTGCTGCCTGGGATGCTCTTTCTTTAGCATTTTTCGTGGCTGGCTGCTTCTCATCCTTCAGGTCTCAGCCTGAATGTTGTTTCATCTCATGGGATGAAAGTCGATCTATGCAGAGTACATCTCGCACCCCATTATGAGCGATCATAATACATTTTTTATTTCCTTCAAAGCACTGAGAACTCTACTTATTTTGTTTATTGTCCTTCCCTCCTTCCCCTAACAGAATGGAAGCTCCATGAGGGCTCTTCCCAGTCTGTCCAGTCTCCTTCTTATCCCCAGTGTCCACTCTAGTGCTTGACAAGTGCTTTATGAGTATGTTTCACGAGTAAATGAACAGCTCTTCCATAGTCTCAAACCCCAGCTTAAATCCCACCTCCATAGTTAATAATAATAGCTTATATGGATTGAGTGCTTCCTTTGTTACATATGTTAACTTACCTGATGGGCCCCCTCCCCCATTCACCTCCTGTAACTCATACGGTAGTTATGACCTAAGCCACACATTCTGTGTTTACTTGAAATTTAGCCTCCTGCTTTGTTATTTGATATATTACATGCATCACTCTTTTTTGCTCCAATGACATGAAAATTGTTGGTGCTCCCCCATAGCATTCAGAATGTTCAAGGTATGCTGAGTGACTAAAGATATTATACACATAATAAAAATGTTGATAAGGGGGATGCCTGGGTGGCTCAGTTGGTTAAGCATCTGCCTTTGGCTCAGGTCATGATCCCAGGACCCTAGGATGGAGTCCCACATTGGACTCCTTACTCAGCAGGGAGCCTGCTTCTCCCTCTGCCTGCCGCTCCCCCCTGCTGTGCTCTCTCTCTCTGACAAATAAATAAATAAAATCTTTAAAAAAATTTTTAAACTTTGATAAGTTATGCTTATTATAAACTTCAGACAGAAAATCAAACCCAATATACAAGTGGACAAACTCCATTCTACCAGTAAAATGTCAAAATGGTTAAGGCAAGATAGTTTGAACTTTGAGGTAGGAGATATGCAGTTCGATCCCCTCCATTTCCAGAACAATTTGCTAAAATCTTAACTTTCTAGAAAAAAAATTGTCTAGCCTGGCAAAAATGCTTGCAAAACCAAGCTTCATTTCACACTTCTCAGTGCTGTGGCAGGTTTCATAAGAAAGGTTCCCAGCATGAAGCATTGACTATTGGGTTTTGAAATATCTGCTTTGCTGTGTTGTGGAGTCCCAAGCTGAAGGGCCCTCTGGTGTTTATGATCTCTAGGCAGTGGATTGGAGAACTTGGAGTCCATCTTGATGAAGATGGCAGGAGGAAGATCCTCCCAAACTCCGCTAGATTCTTCTGCAATCTGGAAATTCAGTCCCACATCTCACCTTGGGTTTCAGTTGCAACCTGCTAGCTCAAGTTTTGAACTCAGATCAAAAGAAACATCCCTGGTCTCCAAAGAATCCACCCTTCATTGTAAAAGATGACTTCAGGGGAAGTCTGCTCTGCTTACCCCACTGGGTATGGCCCTCCCCAAGGCTGTTAGTAAGCTTGGAGTCCCCAAGGGCTCTTATCGCTAGCACTCTACCCTTGAGTGAACCGCAAGAGTCACTCCTGAAGTCTTGGGCTCTGAGTACACACGGTAGTGATTTTCTTCTTGGGTTCCACCCTGGAGCAGATGTGTACAATCAGGAAAATGTCACCCAACCTGTCTCTCCTCATCTGACAGGTCAGCCAAAGCACCCATCCTTCTGGGTGTCCTACTGGATGTGCTTCCTCGAAGAGAGTCTCCCTCCTATTAAAAAAGGTATCTTTTCTTATATGAATCTTAAGCTCCACAGAAACAACTGTTCATTGCAATAGAATATGGGCAATGCTGTACTTTGCCAAGGATTGTTTTTCAGCTTCTTCAGTGGTCAGGGATGTAATTAAATGCCATCATTCTAATGACACACATTTTCCATTCCAGCTGCTTGAAGTTCCTTCTCTGCTAAATACTTTAGTAATTATCTCTTTGGCCACTACCTGCCTCCCCCAGGGAATGGCCTGCCAGAATGACCTCTACTCCTCCTTCCATTTTAGAGTCCCTATAAACTAGGAAGAACTCTTGCCATCTTGAGTGATGTCATGATGTAGCTTATTTATTTATTTATGGGAGTGGAATGTGGCTCTTTTCTCACTTTGAATTAGGACCACTGGGGACAAGCACCGCCAAGGTAGTCATGATTTACCAGAATGCCAGTTTTCCAAAATTCTTAAGTGTACAACATTCCAGAGTGTAGATGGAATAAGAGGAAAGAAGACAAAATTTATTGTCATAATCCTGTATGGCTAGCTTTGGGCAAAGCCAAGTCCTCAATATTCACGCAAAGGCTCATATTTAGATACTGATGTTATCTCCAAGTGAAACTGTAGAATCCCAATGTGTGTGTGTGTGTTAGCAGATCACTCACCAAGTGTAAATAAACATTTAAAATATGCCACACATACCTGCTCTATGCTTTTTTATTTGTTCATTTAATATATCAGGAACCAACCCCCTTCCCCCCCCCCCCCCCCGCGGCAAGAACCAGTCCCAATCTCTTGGGGATCCTACCACTAGCGGGGGACAGGGTGAAAAGGAGACTTGGAGGATGGGTTTTTGGGGAGCAGCAATTGCAGAGTCAGATCCCAGGCCTCAGAGGTTTGGGCTCTGTGCTCCAGCGGAAGCCCACGAAGGCCAGACGGATGGAGGGACCAAAGCACTGCTTGGGCCACACCAACGCAAGACGGCCTCGCCGCCACCTGCAGGCGAGCTTGGGGCGGGGCCTCGCTGGGATGGGGCTGTGCGGCGGGCGCGGCGGGGCGGAGCGGTGGCGACGCGCTGGCCGCGGGGAGGGAAGGCCCGGGC